CGCCTGGCAATGATTTTAAGATAATGATATTCATCTCGTAGGCACCTCGTTTGTAATTTCTTTTAAATGTAAGTTTCAATGAAGTTATTTTGAAAATTTTAGGTTGGACGTTTTTAACAAAAAACAAAAATCCGAAAAAAATTTCGATAAAACATACTTATGTGGGTTGGAATCTTTCAGATAAATAAATAATGTCATATTTTTATAAAAATTTTAATGATCCAAAGAAACAAAATTACAATGATTTTCTTATGTAAATGTAAATTTAAAAAAAGTTTTAATTATTGTGGGTATCTACCTCAAAATCTAGAACTGGAACATTAAATCCATCAACGTCTTCGACTACATTAGCACTTGTAAAATTTTCATAAAACGGTTTAGCGTCTGAAGGAATTAGATGTAAATAGCTTTTAATATCGTTAATTTTATCCTCTGACAGGGGTTTACCATTGGGCCAGAGTTGCATAAGCAGCGCCGAAAAGCTCTCTGTATTTAATCGTCCTCGTCGCTCAATATCCAAACATACACTTTCATCGCCAAAATAACTAGGTTTCATAAAGATGTGGTAAGGATTTTCTTTTGTTAATATAATTTGTTTTGTCTCCAACCAATTTATTTTTTCTTTATTGGTGCCAACTTTTCTGTTTATTGTGGCCTTCTCGAGCTGGTGGGTACTCAAAAACCATTCCTTTTTCATTTGTGTAGCTGTTATTGGAGACTTTTTACGACATGAATTTATTATATTTATATAGTCTAAAGGTGTATATATTCGTTCTTGACGTTTGAGTTGACATTCTATATCCCCAAAATCTTTATCATTTGGTAGAAAACTATGGCCGGAAATCAGGAATTTAAATGTTATAGTTTTTATATTATGGCTGGTTTGAAGAAGACTGGCCATGAGGAGTGTTATTTTAATATTACGGTTCTGGCCTCCACAAGAATCAGACCACAATATAAGATGTTCAACAGTACTTTCTATGTTTTCTAAATATTTTACAATACAGGAACCAACCTCCTGAGCTCCTCTTCCAGCAGTTCCTTCAAGCCATACATAGGAATAACTCTTATTACGTTTGCCTGAAAATACACCGAGATTATACAAGCAAACTTGCCTCTTATAATATATTACATTGGTTGGAATTTTGGGTAAAGGTAGAGTTTTTTGAAGATCGTATGTTAAACACTCTACATTATCCTCATCTTTAGCTCGTTTTAAATCTGCCTTTAATGTTTCTCGTGATTTTTGGGCCAAATCCTGATGAGTGTCGAGTTCAATTTGTAAAAGTTGCTTTTTATGATCATCCGTTTCATTTTCTAGTTTTATTTTAAATGAATCACATACCTGGCATGTGTCCTTCTTGGGAACATTAAATCTCAAATTAAATTTTTCGTAAAAAATCCTCTTATAAATACCAAATTTCACAGGGTTTTGAACTTCAGATTTGTATAGATCATAAATCTTTAATAATGAGAGATGTGCCGGTAAAAATAATGCAGACGTGTTTTCACGACAGTAGTGCGATATGTACTTAGGCAGTTTATTGATCTGGTTGATTATTTCCTGAATTTTATTTTCAGGGACTTTGTTTAAACCACCTTGTTTTCTACCTCTTTGATCAAGAATTGGAGCACGATTGTTTACCTTTCTCAGAGCTGTTGTTACTCTTGACGGAGTTATTCTAAGACTATTGATAAACATTTGCCTACAAATACGCTGATTAAGTAAGGAATATTGTCTGGAATACAGACGTCTTTCAGTGTTTCTTCCATACATTCTTTTTTTCGGCATTTCGTGGATATTATTGGCAATAAAGATAGTTTGGGCATTATAAGACCCAAGACTCCAAAAACGATCAAATTCTTGTTTTCGTGACTCTGTAGAAATCAACTCAGAACATTTCATCGGGCAGTTACAATTGTAGTCATATTGAAATTCTTTAGCAGCTTTCAATTTTCCTTTGTAGTCAATGTAAGATTCATTTTTGTTCCTATTAATCTTTGATGTTGCTCGCGTCATTGCAAATTTCTTTTTTCTACCCTTCTTTGGACGACCTGATGTACTGGCTAAAAATGGATTATCATCACAACTTTCATTGTTATCGGAACTCTCTTCATGTGACGATGGTATAAACATATCAGAGGAACCGCTACTAAAGACATCACTTATTGACATATTCTGTAAGAATAAAAAGGTAGGTATTATTAGATAATATTTTAAATAAAAATTTCAAAAAATTATAGAAAGCGTCTATTTTAATTAAAGAAGTTAACTTTTAATCAATTACCAGGTACCAAAAAATAAAACAAATTCAATTCATTCAAATTAATCTTTTTCATAAAGTTTACTATAGGTACTCATCGAAAAATAATTTTCATATGCTTTACATTATTGTATAATTACTTTAATCAATAATAATTGATGATCATAATAATAGGTATCAATTTAACATTGGTATAATAAGATTAATACATATGTGTTTACAAAATTGTGTGTACCTAAGGAAGTTGTATTTTTTCTTTTAGATTGTAACAATAGGTACATCAAAGTTTAGTTTTCATTAAATAGAAATAATATAGCGAATAGCATTATAAAGCATTTTACTAAACAGTATAGGTACAAAGATTTAATACTTACATCATAATCATCAACAGAATCTATGGTAGAAGCTGATTCAAAACATCCAGTTTTCTCGTTTAAAACCATTTCACGAATACGACTATTGGATGACGATGGTTCGCTGTGACGGTAGAATTCTGTCACATTGGTATCATCCATATTCTACAATATATTTAAATTATGTAATGATGTATAAAATGCATTTATTTTAAAAATTTAGTAAACAACATAAACTTTTAGAAGCCGTGTCTTATAAACTGATTATTTTTTCGTGATTTTCGGCCAGATTAAAGAAATACCACAAAACTCTATTTTCTTCTATTTTCTTTATTTTTTTTTTAAGATTTAGTAACAAAATAAATTGAAACGTCGTAAAAAAAAAGAGAGTTTTGTGTTATTTCTTCAATCTGGCCGAAAACCACGAAAAAATAATCAGTAAACAACATATAGTTATTTTTTAATAAAAAATTTCCGACTTACCTCAACATTGGTAATATTTGAATCAAATTCCACGCTAGACATTACACTATTTGTTTGGTTTTCCATAAGTTTTGCTAGCTCACACATGTATTTGCTTCTTTTCGACATAATTATTATTAAATAAGTATTTTTAAACCCGAACAGTCAGAAAAATCAGACACAACTGAATAAAAAGAAATGTTTATCAATACATAGGCACATTTACTTAAAACTAAAGGAAAGTGATTACTATGCTTAAGATGAGTACCTATAATAAATTAATTTTTATCGACCAAGTTCCAGGGTTTATACGCACAAGGCACGTTTTAAACATTAATAGGGCACATTCCCGTAATAAAATTTTATTATCGACCGAAATCGAAGATTCAAACTACTTTTAACATATTAATGAAATAGTAAACGTAAAATGATACCAAGTGGTTTGGACGATTTCTGATTATACTCTTATTTTTAACAAGTATACCGAAATTTATAAGTAGAAAACATCCAATTCACTTGGATGTTTTTAACACAAAAAAATGCACAGTAGTTTTGTTATCGCATGGAGCGTTAAAGTGATCCAACCCACTTAGCCTGTTTTAACCACTCTTTTAACACGATTACTTAGATCGACATACATTTTTTAGAAAAAATTCAACCCACTTGGATTTTTTATTATCAATGAAAATCTCAGTTAACCTAGTTTGTGGGTTAGAACTTTGACGATTATTAAAAGAGTATGTAATGTTTTCACTTGGACGGTTTCTGCATATTATAAAGCAAGAAATTATATGCTCGCTGGTGTAAAGAACTCATTTTTAACAATTTGTGGGTTGGACGTTTTCTGCTTAACTACGTCCATATATTCTTTCACCGCTGGAGCAGGTAAATAAATTTCATTTCCATTTCATAAGTTATTTTTCAACTATGTTAAACAAACTGATCGGAAGAAGAAGAAGGATTTGTGGACGTGGATAAAGATTTTTGAGTGAAGAGATGAAGAAGTCAGGTATTCAGCAAGTAAGGATGGAGGGATGTTTTGCCGGTGGCGGTGAGAGCCAAGTCATTGGTATCGAGTTTGATTACGCTAGACTGCTAATATGGATATTCGATATTATTGGAATATATATTGGAAGAATATTGGCAAAAATACTGAATAATGACTATTTCCTGTAATAGTGCGTAACATATAAAACTCTAGGAGAAAAATCTAATAAAAAGTAAGTTGATTTTAAAATCGTCGCGTCGTATACAAAAGTTGTTGTTCCACCCTTGGTTCTTAGAATACATGTATTGTATGTTCCATTGCCGAAATGTGAATACATAATATGTGTACAATATAGTCACATGGATACATCCAGCGCATAGATAAAGAAGAACGCGCATGCTAAATTTTTGCAACATGAATAAACAATGTAAATGACGGTTGGGGCATTACCGTGAGTTGGCACAGAACGGCAAGTGAGCGTCCACATTATATTTCAATTTTTATGATCTCCTAGTTTATTCAGTTTTCCACGTCAACTTCATAGCGACGAAGTGGATCGTTGCAGTTGTTTCTCGTTTGCTACGCTAGCGTAACGGATGTAGGACAAAAAATGAATACAGCAAATTCGTTTTAAAAATATTGTCTATGATAAACCATTTAATTTACTGCAGTAAACTGCTCATATGGGATTAAAGTCTCTTATCACATTTTGCTAATAGAAATATTTTTTAATTTTGACTTTACACATCACGTCATTCTCCAGGAACTTTGAAATATTTTCTGGTAAACAATCAAACGAGAGTTGTAGCATTTCATTTATTTGATGCTTTTCTTCTCTCAAACAGCTTCTTTGATACTTTCCTAATGAATTTCCTCTGACTTTATTATATTTTACTTACACTATTTACAAAATGAGTAAACCTGATAATAAATAAAACCTAATAAATAGTAATAAAATACTTGAGTTACGTACAATTTATTGTCACTGTTTTATTTTGTTTCAGGTGACTATTCCTTGGAAATATCACCGGTCATGCTGGACGATGACGCTAAATATGAATGTCAAGTCTCGACTGGAGCGCAAGGTCAAACGGGCATCAGGTCCCACTTCGCCAAATTGACAGTATTAGTACCGCCTGATCCTCCGAAGATTATTCAAGGTGATTATTTGGTTACCACCGAAGATAGAGAAATCGAATTAGAATGCATCAGCTACGGTGGAAAGCCTGCTGCAGAAATCACGTGGATAGATGGACTGGGTGAGTAAAGATTTATTACAAGATTTTGTATATTTCTTACTATTATTTACTTACTCTTCATATCCAACAAGCTTTAAATTTTGTATTTCCAATGGTTAGCCACATAGATGGCCCTGTCATTCGCTAAAAATAGGTCTTCTTCTGTGCAGATCTCTCTCATCTCTGTGAGATAGTAGATGGTGACTATTATGAACCGCGCCACAGTCGCAGGTAGCGCTTTCCATGTGGCAAATTGTGTCCAGAAACCATTTACTTTGAGGGGCAAAATGTGTTGTAGCTGACGCTTGCCATAGATGTATTCGGCGCTCCTTTGGCTCTTCGGGAAGGGATCGTGATTTTTTCAGAAAACTTTTCCGAGATCTTAGTCTACTTGGCTGAACTTGGTGGTCATACAAGGTGTGTATTCGATCCGTCTCCTGCTTCTTTCGTTCTGTCTCTGACTTGACCTGTCTTCTGATATCAAGTGGAGCGATTCGAAATATAGGGCAGATCTCTTCGATAGGTGTCGGTTTCAGGCATCGAGATATTATACGAACCGTTTCATTTAACGCAACATAGAAGTTTTTAGCGTGAGCAGTTTTCCCACAATGGTGGTCCAAACTGGGCGGCAGAAAAACATAATACTAAGGCAGAAGTACGGAGAGTGTGTGGTGGTTGTGCTACCTATTTTATATTTGTTAGTTTTCGGATGATATTATTTCTGGCGCTTACTTTTTTCTTGACATCTTCACAATGATATCGATAAGACAGAGTTCTATCCAGACGTACGCAGAGGTATTTTGGCGTCTCATTGTGTTCCAGCATCTGACCACGGCATTCCACCTCCAGTGTCCTTCGGGCATATTTGTTTCTAAGGTGGAAAGCACACACCTGGGTTTTTGTAGGATTGGGTTCCAGATGGTTTTCGTCATAGTATAGTGCTAAGTCTTCTAGGGCATCTGTCAGATTTACTTCGACTTCATTGAACTGCCAGTGGTAGTTATGTTGCATTCCGATCAAGGCTTTCATTCCGTAGTGGACGGTGCTTTCTGACACTACTAAGGCCAGCTCTGAAATAGAAAGGAAACTTGAGCGCTAACTTGTCTAACATCTGAATTTTGCTTTCCTAGGCAAGTTCTGATTATTGCTTCTGCAGTCTGTTCCTCGGGGACGTAGATGAGGACTATGGGGTACCTAGTCATATTATTGGACCCTAGCAAATTCACAACCCTCAGCACAACCACATTAAATTTCTTGGTGTACTTGTTTGAACAGCTCACACCGAAAGAGATTCTGCACCAAATATGTTATTGAACTGTAGTACTTTTTCGAGTTTGTGTATATACTGTATCAGATTTGTTAACCATTAGATCTGCATGAGCCTAGATCTAGTTGAGTATCATACTGACTTCTGTGTATCACCGCCAACTTGAATAATTTTGTGATCTCGCTATTTCAGGTTTTCTAGCCGCGGGGAAAGTGTCTATTATTCTCTCGATGTTCCTTTTTACCCTTGAAATTTACTAGTAGCTGTCTGATTTTGTCTCGATTTTATTAAGTGTACGTTCCAGCTTCGCATAGGTGTTTGGCCTTGAATTCCTTTATCCTCTAAAACTGTTTTTGTCCTAGCTGGAGAGAAACTTCCTCTCAGCATCTATTGGCCCATTATTGGAGCCAGGGTCCGCGACCTGGGTCGCTCTTCTGCGGTTTCGTTTATATTTTTATTTGTAGTTTCTCCTTGTAGCACTCTGAGTTCACTTCGGGCAAACTTCTTTTACTTTATTTACTTGTATATTTTATTCTTACCAGATATAACAGAATGCTATCAAGCACTGTAATCTCTATAATCCATCAAAGTTCGCCAGCTCTCTGGGACATCTCTTAAGGCAATACTTTTTCCACTGAGTATGATGGGGTTACCGAAATATTCGCAAGCGGTAATCGCAGCACAAATCTCACCGTATGATGAGTCTGATGATGAGTATTGTTAAGTCTTTATTAATTCTAATTTATTGTTTTAATTTACTAAAGGTTCAATATTTATAACACTTACAAACTTTATTTACTTAAAGTTTATTTCTTCTTCATGTGCCTTGTCCGTTCCGAACGTTGGCAATCAACATGGCTATTCTGACTTTGTTTACGGCAGATCTGAATAGTTCAGCAGATGACAATTCGAACCATTGCCGCAAGTAGTAGAGCCACGAGTGTCTTCTCCTCCCTGGACCCCTTCTGCTGTCTATTTTCCCTTGAACGATCAGCTAAAGTACTCTATATTTATTATGTCTCATAACGTGACCCAAGTATTCCAACTTTCTTTTCTTTATACTTATTCCTACCTCTCTCTCTCTTTACCTATCCGGCGTAGTACCTCTTCGTTGGTCACGTGCTCAGTTCAGGATATACGTAATATACGTCGGTAAGCCCACATTTCGAAGGCCTCTACTTTTTTCATCAATGTTGCGGTCATTGTCCACGCCTCCCATTCCATATAACAAAACCGGGAATACATAACATTTCAGAAGTCGAATTTTGAGAGGTAGGGTGAGGCTTTTAGAGGTGAAAATTTGCTTCATGCTAGTGAACGATGCTCTTGCCTTTTCTACTCTTATACGTATTTCCTTCGCTTGATCCCAATTTGAGTTAACTGTTGTTCAAAAGTAGATGTACGAATCCACGTGTTCAATTCTTTCAATGTCTAATATCAGTTGCTGTGGTGGTAGCTGGGTTTTGCTTACTAACATCCATTTGGTTTTTGTGATATTTATTCTGAGTCTGTATTGTGCACTTGTTTTTTGTATCTTACTCATTAGGCAACTCAGTTCCTCCATGCTACTTGCTAGAATCACAGTGTCATCAGCATACCTTATGTTATTAATTATTTCTCCATTTATCTTTATGACTTATGTGCTTTCCTCCAGCGCTGTCTTAAATACTTCTTCTGAGTATATATTAAAGAGAATAGGAGACAAGATACAGCCCTGTCGTACATCTTTCTTGATCTCAATTTTATTGGTCAATGTAGATCCTACTTTCACTTTAGTTGTTTGACCCCAATAGAGACTCTCTATTGTTCGAATGTCTCTGTAGTCGACTCCGATCTTATGGAGAACTTCAATTATCTTTTCGTGCTTTACGTTATCGAATGCTTTTGCGTAGTCTATAAAGCATAATGTACACGTCTTTGTTTATATCTCTGCAGCGCTGGATGAGTACCTATAGACTAAAAAGTGCTTCTCTTGTCCCAAGAGAATGCCGAAACCCAAACTGAGAATCTCCAATGTTATTCTCGCATTTTTTGCTTATTCTGTTGTAAATAACCTTGGTGTATGCCTTCGAAATGTGATTAATTAGACTTATCATCCGATGTTGATCACAAGACTTTGCTTTTGGTTTTTTCGGTATGGCAACAAAACTTGACTCTAGCCAGTATTCAGGAAACTCCCCGCTGCTATAAATATTGTTAAAGAGTCTGGCGAGTGAGTTTAGAAATTGGCAGTTTGTTTCACACAGCATTTCACAAAGCAAAGTTTATTTATAATAATTTATCTTACAATAATTTATTATTACGACCGTTACATTTAACTGCCCCTTCGCGAATTTCTTTTCTAACTGCTGGCCACAATAAAAGCTCTGTTATTATATATGAAAATACAGCTATTCGAGAGTTCAGGCGAATCCTTCTGATTATACTAGGCTGGGTCATCATTCGACCGATTTCTGGAAACTTCGAATCATAGCGGAGCGACCGTTTCAGGTAGATTTCTGCCAACTTATCGAAGGGTCTCGTAGAATCTACAACATATTAGTGAATAAACAACATGTTTACAGGTTTTTTTAATGTGACTAATTTTTACGTAACAGTATGATGAGATTTAGCGTCTGGCTGGTCTGGTGATTGTCTTATTAAGTGTGGTGTAGAAGGACACGTGTGTGTGTAAGTGTGGACATGTTAAATCAACAAATGTTCAGTTTATTTGGTTAAAGCTTATTGAGCTATACAATGTATCCACAGGACGTTTCCTATTAGCCGTTGGAGCTCGTTGTGTTGGGGATGCGACTTTCCTTACTCAATCTGTCCTCTGCGCAGATTACTGGAGAGTTCCGATTCCCTTCAAAGCTCCTAAGTGAAACTTAAAATATAAATAAATGTTTTTATAATGACTTTTACATACAATTTGTAATTTAGGTCTTTAAATTATATTTTGCCATTTGATCCATTGCTTTTATTAACCAAACATCACATCGCTATAAACTCTACGCTACTCACTGTATAGCTGACTCGCTAAACCCATAAGATTTTCATATTTTCAGAACGTAATTTAATTTTCAGGAAATGTCCTTTCCGACGGTATAGAGAATATCGTGGAGAAGTTGTCCGACGGGAGACGATTTACTGCCAAGTCAATATTAAAATTGACGCCGAGAAAAGTCCACCACAACACGACGTTTACGTGTCAGGCACAGAATACAGCGGAACGAACACACAGATCGGCGAAACTCAAACTTGAGGTCAGTAATGTATGAAATGTATTTTTATTCGATAAGATAAATTGTTTAAGCGTACACTAGTGGCCAAAATTCTGGAAACTTTACAAAAATTATCGTTTTTTTAGCATTTTAGACTCGTCTCATGATCATGATTTATATAGTTTACCATTACAATTATATTTTTAAATAGGTAAAGAAATAATAATAAGACTTACTCACAATCAATTTAATTTAACAATCTGACGACCGGTTTCGCTTTCTACAATTTGCAAAGCATCTTCAGGTCCAGATACAAAGTTAAACTAATGCTGCAATAAAATAAACCCAATTAGGGTGGTGTCTAATAAAGATAAAATAAACAAATAAGTTAGTTCATACAAATTCTAGTAATTATGCCAATATTACATGTCTGTGGTTTTCAAAATGAATAAATTTGAATATATAAAAGGTATTAACAGACAAGGTAAGACCCACAATTGGTATAAAGTAGTAATATTATATTGTAATAAATTAATAAATGAGCAGATAAATAAAACAAAACAAACATTACTTACATGCCGGTACTCTATTAATTGATGGATGGTATGTCATGGTTGCAAAAATCATGTATTGTTGATTGGAGAACTTTGATGTGCTATTGCAGTTGTTTTGACAATAAACGGGAAGTTCTTGAGGAGAACAGATTTGATCCAATGAATTAGAGATAGGTATATTGTGGTTGTTTGTCAGATGAAAGTGATGTTCTTTACTATTGTATTATTTAAATTATTTACACTTATATCAGAGATATATTTTTGGAATATGTGTTATTTATTGAGTATTTATGTAATGAAAACAATAATTATGTAATAAATCAAAAAATATATCTCTGATATAAGTGTAAATAATTTAAATAATACAATAGTAAAGAACATCACTTTCATCTGACAAACAACCACAATATACCTATCTCTAATTCATTGGATCAAATCTGTTCTCCTCAAGAACTTCCCGTTTATTGTCAAAACAACTGCAATAGCACATCAAAGTTCTCCAATCAACAATACATGATTTTTGCAACCATGACATACCATCCATCAATTAATAGAGTACCGGCATGTAAGTAATGTTTGTTTTGTTTTATTTATCTGCTCATTTATTAATTTATTACAATATAATATTACTACTTTATACCAATTGTGGGTCTTACCTTGTCTGTTAATACCTTTTATATATTCAAATTTATTCATTTTGAAAACCACAGACATGTAATATTGGCATAATTACTAGAATTTGTATGAACTAACTTATTTGTTTATTTTATCTTTATTAGACACCACCCTAATTGGGTTTATTTTATTGCAGCATTAGTTTAACTTTGTATCTGGACCTGAAGATGCTTTGCAAATTGTAGAAAGCGAAACCGGTCGTCAGATTGTTAAATTAAATTGATTGTGAGTAAGTCTTATTATTATTTCTTTACCTATTTGATATGGACTCACACAAGCAACACATTCATGATTTTAATTATATTTTTATTTTATTGTTTTATATTCTTGTATAATATTTTATGTATTTCTTAGTCTTTTTTATTAACATCATTATTTAATAAAATATGGAACCAGCTTCAAGCAAAAAGCCGAAAATCCGAGATTTATGAATGGCAACATTGGCAATACAGTATTGCGTCAGGGTTTTGCTAGTCAGTCAACAACCCAACTGGAAGCGGTTAGGTGACCTTTAGTACAGTTTCGTGCGGCTTCCAGTGTTTATTAGTGACATCAGGTAGTTGTTACTAAAGTGATATTGTTTAATTGTCGGAGAAGAATTCATCAGCGTCGATTCAACGAAAATGGCAACCAGACACCCAAAACGTGTTGACTGGTCGCCAGGAAAGAGAGCCAAAGCAATTATCCTTCGAGAAAAAGGTTACAACTTATCAAGAAATAGCAAACAAATTGGGTGGTGGCGCCACAAAATCAGGTGTAATGAAAGTTTGCAAACGTAGAACGACAAAATCAGCAAAAAGATCTGGCAGAAAACCCAAAGTTAGTCACTATGATGTGCGTAGAATATGCCGACTTTCTTTAGAAGATCGTCGCAGATCCGCAAAAGATATTAACGTATGTCAAATCAACTGATACAAATATCGGACGCACTATCAGAAGAAAGTTGTGTGAAAATGGATTGCGAGCACGAATTCCTAGAAAGAAGCCGTTCCTGAACAAAAAACAGAGGCAAAAACGCATTGATTGGGCTTTGGCACACAGAGGGTGGATAGAAGAACAATGGAGTAAAGTAATTTGGAGTGATGAAACCAAAATCTCGATCTTTGGGAGTGACGGAGTGAAGTTTGTTCGCCGCCGACCGGGAGAAGACCTTTTGCCCCAGTGTACTACGATCACTATGAAGCATTCTGTGAGTGTCATGGTATGGGCTTGCATGACCACTAATGGAGTTGGTCGTTTAGCAGTAATACAATGTAATATTAATGCAAAAAATATCAGGAAGAGATACTGCAAGCCAAACTGCTACCGACTATCAGATATTTGTTCGAAGAGGATGCCCAACAATGCATCTTCCAGCAGGTTGGAGCGCCTTGTCATACGTCTAGGACTTCCATGGAATGGTAGAGAAACCATGATGTTACTGTTCTGTCTTGGCCTGGAAATAGTCCCGATCTAAATCCAATAGAAAATTTATGGTCAAGGCTGAAAGTCTTAGTATCACGCCGAAACCCAAGCAATAAGAGAGAACTGATAGAAGCCATTATTTAAAATTGGTTTAGTGTTATTACACCAGAAGATTTGGCTCGTCTCGCCAACTCCATGCCTCGCAGAATTGAGTCTGTCCTAAAAAACAAAGTATGATATTGTTTATACCATTGAATAAAGAATTGAATAAACTTTCGAACGAGCTTTCATATTTTTCGAACCTCGTCCAATTTTGGTATATGTCTAGTTTGAGAACAACCTGGGCCTCAATCTTCTCTAGCCCCCAGATACTATTACACACTTCATTCGTTAGTCATTGCCCTGTTGTCGCTTTGATGTCGAGATGTTATTTTTATACTGTCGAAGGTGATTTAGCTCGTATTTATAACGTCTGAGTGACAGGGTATTGATTATTAACGTAGAGAACTAGATTTTGAGAAAAAAAGAACAATGATTTATTATAACTGACGAGGGATGTCCTTGTTAAAGGTAGCCAGATGCTATCTAGGGATGATTCGATACTACTAAATACTCATATGGTATCGATACCTTCATTAGATACTGAGTACTCGGTATCGAATGAAACCGTATTCGATACCGAGTACTAGTATCGAATGAAAATACTAGTATCGAAACAACATTCTCTTAGTTTCATTTTTCATTTATTGTCAGTTGTCATTCTCACTTTACATAGTGTGGGGTAAATTAAATAATTTAATTAAGTAAATTAAATAATGATTGTTTTGATATTTTGATATTTTGATGTAGAAGCATAGTGTGTGAAATTAGACAATATACAATTTGTAAGAATAAACCTCATTTTTCCAGTTATGTAGACTTGTAGTTTTGTTAATGAAATTATGTTTCTTCATTTTATCCTTTATATACTGTTAGGTAATATGAGCGTTATGTATAATTAAAATAAAGTTGATTCTAATTCCACAAATTTTATAGTTTATTGATGATTATGTATAATTAAAATAAAGTTTATTCTAATTCCACAAATTTCATTGTTTATTTTTCCGTCATCTGTCACTGTCATGTCGCTCTGTCCTGTTACCTGTAGGTACTTGTGAATGCTGTTACGTCATACAAGTGGTATGAGGGAGTTTTTGTAACTACCTAACGTAACATATCTCCCTATACGTAAAGAATTAACGTATCGAAGAAGATGAACGTTAAATTGAGAGTTAATGTTCTGCACGTAACGTAACGATGGTGTTGCCCTCATCGAATTAGTGATAAACTAATAAGTTTTCAGTGCCATTCTTGTCCTTGTCACTTAACCCTACTTCTGATATTCAAAATAAATAACACATATTTTTAAACAATTTTTAATTTTGGAGATGGACGCAATAATAAATGTAGGTGCCATTATTGATGATGAAGAAGACGATGACATAGAAAATCCGCTTCTTCTCCACATCTTGCACGACTATACGGCCGTTTTAATTTAGATACCATGTCTGATATACAATGTAAGAACCTTTTTCGCTTTTGGATTAAATTTCACCTTTCTGTATGATCTTAAGGGTTCCTACGACTTCCTTAAGCATATCATATCATCTTCATTACTGAAGTGAAGTCGTTTTCTACTGCTTTCCATTATTTATAAAAATCAAAACAAATATACTTAACTACAAATGTGGATGTTGATATTTTGATAATCGGGTAAGATCCCCTTGTGCATTCGGTTACTTTCGGCTCGATAGGGATGCTTATGACCAGCCCGTTACGTTAGGTAATACGTATCTAGATACGTAAGTGAGAGCGCCCACCAAACTGACGTGCCACGTGGCAAGTAGCAAGTAGCACGCGTCTAGCATGTTAGTTAAAATATAACCAATGAAAACGAATGATTCAGCGCACACCAAAATGGCAGTGACGTCATACGATCTAATCATTCGTTTGCATTGGTTACATTTGATGTAACATGCTAGACGCGTGCGACTTGCTACTTGCCACGTGCCACGCCACTTTGGTGGGCGCTATCTCTTAGTTCAACCATTAATGCGCATGCTTATATGTCAAAAAGATACGTTACGTATTTGCTTGCACAAAAACTCTCTATTCTGTGGTTATGTTACGTCATATGTCACGTCATATATGAGTAACGAGTACTCACAAGTATCGATACCAGAAGCCGATATCGAATGAGGTATCGATACTTTGATTCGATACCGACCTGAGTACTTGGTATCGAATGCCGAGTGGTATCGATTCATCCCTAATGCTATCATTCCTGTTAGTGACACAGTCACACAGACACAGTCATGACCAGAGAGAAGCTAGTACATCTGTAGATAGCCAAACGGGAGATGTAGGTCCAGAGATAACCAAATC